TGTGAACTCCTTATGGTGCTCCGTGGGTAAACAAATTGCATATTTACATTTACATCCTTGCATACCTTTTACGAACATGGTGTAAGAATATTTAGGAATTTGACCAAAAAAGTAATATTATTCCCTACATTTTAAGGTATAAAGTGAGATTAATTCTGCTTCAAGTCAAACTATTTGTAGCCCTTGATATTCACTTCTGAAAATTATACTAAAACGATTATTCGCCTCAGGCTCAGTGAACAGTGGTGAATAATTGTTAATTAATATAAATATCGAAAAGGTTTACGGTATATATCGCGAACACATCTATTGAATTCCTGAAGTGTGGTAAAGGACTGTTAATGGGCTTCAGTACTGTAATACGTGACCATGTAACTGTGCAAAAACCCGGGATTCTGAGCAATAGCCCAGGCTGGGTGGAGTGGAGTTGTCATGTTACTGCTTCATGCAACATACTTTGCAACGCGGACCTAGTCGCTGGACTGGTCGAATAATGAATCATTTAAAAGGTAATTTGTTTCGATAATTACTACAGAGGTAGCCTGAAATGTCGGTCACCTCTCGCCCCCGGCCTAATCCTCGTCCTGGGATTAGGCTGAGGGCGGGAGAAAACCGACAATTCAGGCTACTGCAGAGGTACACTTAGCCGAACTGTCTAGTTGTCGCAGAAGCCACTAGTTTGGTTTCTCCCGCAAGGCGTCGTCTTTATGATCACGTGATTCGCTAGTCGTTCGAGCTGCGTGATTTTGCTTGATTCTAGTTATACTTCTTACGTGTTTCGATTATGCATCTTTGCACGAAAGCCCGTGCATCACTAGCCTGTTCCAGGCTCTCGGCCAGTGCCGGGACGATCAAAAAAAGCGGTCGGGCGACGAGCGGGATCAGCGAAGAGCGAGATCAGCGACGAGACTCTGACACAAAACACAGGGCCGGCCATCCTCGGACGGTCTTTGAACGTTCCAGGCATCATGCCAGAATTAAGACATTCCTAGTAAATGGAATACATTTGAAAGACTATCAGAAAATCTTTTAAATCAGGATCTCACCAAGCCTCAGATACAAGTGATTGAAGTCTGTGAAAAACATGTCTTGCTAAATGAACTGGAAACTTAACTGTAACCTCAAAAATAAGTCTACTACTGCCTCTCCTAGGATCTGCTTTCCCATGTCCGAATGATCACCAACCTGCTCAATTGTAACAAGCCGCTTTCAGATGATCTCAACAGTCGCATCGCTGAACGGTGCACTTTCAGTGGAATGAAGAGAAATGCTGCAAGTTTCTCGATATAAACCAAAAGTGAATGAGAGATTTGGAAATAAAGTGTTGGCAAAATTAAAAGGAAGTGGATTAGAGCTTGATTTTGAGATATTGTAGATGTTTACAAATATAGCAGTACAAATATAGTCAGGATGTTTACAAAGATGGTTAATTCTGGACGAGAGATCATGATATCCTGTTCTCTTAGATCATATTAATTCTGTTGCTCTGGAACACGAATGTATAGCGAATTTTATCGTAGATTTATAGTAAGCATTTATATCATTCAGTTAACTGTTAAAAACTGATCTAATATTAGAACATACATTACTTGGACTAATAACGCACTGCAATTTAACATGATGTTCTTATTAATAAGAAACAGTCGTCGCTCAAATTCATGCAAGTGCTTTTTGAGGTCTTCCTTTGAATCTTGCATAACATTCAACTCAATTAGATTTGAGATTGAAGCGAAGGCAAAATTGAGTGGAAGTGGATCAAAGAACACGCAACTTTGCAAAGAAACTTTCAAGTCGACCATGTTCACGATAGCCTCCACGGAAAAATTTATCATATCAAATTCAAACCAGGCGTTATTTGCTATCTTAGTGTCTGTTGCATGGTAGTCCACCTCCAAAAACCCATGCTCAGTTTCATCGTCACGTGAAAACAAATATAGTTGCTAACATGCATTTGTTAATGTTGCTAATCTTACCGAAACAATTTAGATGCTTGTTGTTAGTGTGTTAAAGCGTTAGCGTTCTTTACCGAAGGCAACAAACACCAAACCAGAGGATAGAATGTTTCTTGAATTAGGTAAAAATGGCTCATCTAGTTGCAGTCATGAAAAGGTGAGATCATTAACCCCTCCCCTCCCCCCCGGGGTATTCCCCTGTTTAAGCTAACCCTTAAATCAATACCTTGTTTCCGACCTGCCTGTAATTAGTTAGTTAAAGGTAGGGCTTTCCACAAGTTCCTCGAGATTTCCCGAGAAGTTGCTTAAAAAAAGTCAAAAGTTGCTTTTTGTAACGAAAGTTGCTCAAGAGTTGCGAAAAAACCGGCAACAAAAATAATTATTGTTCTCTTCCTTTATTTGGTCCGATGCAAAAACAGACCAAAAGTAAGGTTTCTAACCATTTTAACGCAATTTTGCGGCGTAACCAGCGTTGCTAAATAATTAAAGTTGTCCTCGATTAAAACCGAAAAAAATGTATGAGTGAAGACTACGTGTAATCTTCTAAAAATTGTTCACCTGAGACGCTCGAGTCGTTCGAGTGTAAATCTTAGTCCGCCACAGGAGGGACAGCGGTGAACACGTCAGATTGGCTGTCCAGATGATCATGGCCATTATTACGTCACGGCGAACGAAGTGCGCAAATGTACAAAAGTTTCGAAAATGACGTCGTCTCGCGCAGATACAACTGAGTTGCTGACCACCGTTCCCGAAGAAGTAAATCCACCTGTGTCAAG